CTAACATCACCATCGTTAATTTCATCATGACGGCCATGACCTCTATCTGGGCCATCATCATGTTGCTTCCAGATTAGAGGTATGAAATCTGCATCTGGAATATAGTCATCCTTTTCAACCTGGTAACAAAAGTTATACCCATCAAGCTTGACAAATGCCTCTGCGGTTGTGGAATCTCCTCCCAAGTCATTATTATAGGTGAATATATCCAAAGAGCGCACAACAACCTGAATGCGTATAATAGCATGACGACATAGGGCATAAAGATCAACATCTTGAGTTGCTCCAATGACCGATCCAACAGCCCGAAGCCCGAGGAAATGTCGTAGTGAATGAGGAACACCGTAAACGTGCACCCAAATAGTCTCCAGAGAAACATAAGATGGGACATCTTCAACTTTCCATTCTTTAAAAGAAATTTCAACACCATGCGACTTGACTCGAACCTCTAGGCCAGCCATTCAGCGAAGATCGTCAAAGGAGGGGAATGACACCAAAAAGGCATCCTTGCCATGCGGAATAGCCTCCCATTTCCACTGAGTCTGAGTCCGAACGATCCTAGCAATCTTAGCTTCAAGCACCACTGCAGGTAGCTCCCCACCGGAAACTGTGACTAAGGCAATTGGCGATGCTGATGGAGAAGTATCGATGTCCTTGCACACGTGCTCTGGGATCTGAATGAACATGGAAGCATTAGATCCTTGTCCACAAAAGATGCCGAGGGCCGTGGCTGCTTCAGAACGGGACAAGGAAACATAGCATGCTTGAAATTGTTGCAGATGTAGCAAAAGTGCACCACAGTACAATCTCTGGACATGTGATCATTAGACCGACATTTGAAACAGTGCATCTTTTCTTTCTTGGTTTTAGGCATGTTGGCAGAGGCTTCGTCCTGTTGAGCGGCAACCATGCCGTCGGACTTGGCCAATGGTGGCATGGCGTGGGAGACGGCCAAGTTTGCGGCAATTGGGGGCGCCTGAGGTGTTGGTGTTGTATGTGCGCCTGGCCGACGCCCATTCTACGTCTTCTTCTTTCCTTCATGCTTCAATGGTTCGCCAGTACCAAAAGCGAAGCCTTGCCCGCTCGTTTGTGAGGGGCCCGAACTGGGGCCAGCGGCCTGTTAACCAGCACCAGCACAGGTGGAGCCAGCTTGGTAGTGTTATTGCCTGGCCGGAGCGCCAAACCTAGGGGGTCCAGCCGTCGGACCAAACCCAGCGAAAGCAGCAGCCAGGGTCGAGGCACCGATGGAGTTCATTGTAGCAGGTGCCTTAATGGTGTTGGAGGTGAGGCCGGACGTCGAAGGGTGTTGCGGCGCCCCAGCCATCGGAGCCGGTGAGGAGATGCACAGCGCGTCGGCGTAGGAACGACGCGAGGTGATTGAGGGCGATGCGAAGGAGCGAATAGGGTTCGCAAGTCGTGCCCAACACCTAACCACACCCGGTCTACGGCTGATATCGGCTTGACGCAGTGGACGTCCATGATTCGCTTGCAAGGCTGGCCCATCAGACAGTGGCGGTGTCGATGGATCGCCCGCGATGGCTGCGACTTCCTCGGCCGCCGTTACGCGAGCAGTAACTACAGGAGACGACCTGTCCGACGCCTCAACCGTGGTTGTAGAGGACGTCGACGCCGGCAGAAACGCTGCGAGGGCCACCGGCGGCGTCACCCGAGGACGCGGCAGTGGCCCATGCCATGGCCGGATTCGAACGCCCTTCGACTGCGCCCGAACTGAAGGAGCCGTCGAGTTTGCCAGCACTTTCTCCGGCGACGTCGCGCCCCTCGGGGAGGAGCGACCACTTGGAGACGCCGCTGGTACTTCACGATCGCTGCACACGGGCCTGGCGTCCATACGATCTGGCGAAGACCTGCGAACATCATCCTGAAGCACATCAGCTGAAACAGAACTAGGCCTCGCCTGCAGGGAAGAGGATGTCGATGGCGAGCCCCGTTCCCAAACGTGTGATGCCGGCGTGGGGTACCCAATGTCCGTCCAGAACTCCTGAGCAATCTCCTCTTTCGTTTTCTTCCTCCTAGACTTGACAGTGGACCAACGGCCGCCCTCGTCTGCAACCCCGCCGCCGGTGAGTACCACGTCAGCCATGTGAAACGCCAAGCTGGGCACCTCCCCAACCTCAGCATGCTCCTCCTCCTCGACAGGCAAAGCCCCGTACCGTGATCCAGTACAAGTCGACAAGGAGAGAACTCTAGGCGACAGATCTCCCGGCGCCAGGGTGAGCCGCCTCCGATCCGGGAACACGCGGTGAGCAACGCGCACAACGCAGTCGAGCAGGACCATATCGGTGCCCGGCGAGATCCATTCACCGTCACGAAGAAGCCTTCCTTCCTTGATATTGCCGTCCGCATTTCTCAGGAAGAGGAAGTTATGGGCGCGGTCGAGGAAGAGAGATCCGGGACGCCAATCCTGCCTTCCGTCGAGGAATGCCGAAGAGAACGTCGCCGTCCACCTCAGCGAAGGCGGCGCCTCCGGCGGTCTAGGCATCCCCCGTGGATCCGAAAGCCGTCATTCACCGCGTTTGCTTAGGTTACTGAATAAGGAAATTTTATGTTTACATATATACATGACGAGTAGATCCTCAGATCTGAGTTTTGTCCATTGTTTGTAGGGTTTCGGCATTGATCTTGCAGATTTGGCTCTGACTCACTCCATCAGGTTTGAGATTGCACCCAACTTTTTTGTGCTCTACTGTACATACGTGTATGTAGACATCTATGCCTGTATTGCTTTCCTAAAAAAGAGTAGCTATTGCAGCAAGACTTATGCTCAAATGTCACGGTCGACAAACTCGGTCCATCTGCTCCGAATTTCCAAGGGAGAAACCACATCTTTCCACACAAAAACGAGACGATGCAGGGTGTGAAACGCAAAAGCCTCACACCACGATAGGACTGATTCGTTCGACGCTTTGACTTTTCGAAGAAGTGTGTTCGGACTTCGGACCCCCTCCTCAGATCTGACGCACGCACGGCCAAGGCGCAGGCGGCCGCATTATTCAAATCGGTCTCCAACCTATGCACGGATGCGTGACCATGAGATTTGGATCTCGCAGTACAAATCTTGATGCTGAATCAATGTCTGGAACGTCGTAGGATCTGGTGCGGGAGGAGCACGTCGCTCTCGTGGCCTAGCCAGACGGGCTTTGAGTCACGCTGAAGCAAATCACCCGAGCTGCAATGATCCCCTTTTCCACCCTTTAATTTTCTTTCTTTCTAAGACAAAGAGCAACAACTTTGTTAGGCTTGTTAGTTAGGACGCGCATCACCGTCGCGTACAACACCCCCGGCTTAATTAGCACCAGCAATTCTGATCATCCACTTTCAAGTACTCCTTTCGTTTCTAAATATAAATCTTTGAAGAGATTTCACTGTGAACCACATACGGATGTATATAGATGCATTTTAGAATGTAGATTCACTCATTTTACTTCGTATATAGTTCATAGTGAAATCTATATAAAGACTTATATTTAGGAACTGAGGGAGCAGTATCCATTTCCAGCATCGAGGATTCGTGGTTTTGTTTTCTCAGATACAACTGCATATTGCGTGCATGCGAAAATGTTTTGATTACATTAGATACATAGTGTACTCTACAATCTCTCCACGTATTGAACCCGCATCGCCTTCCTCTTGCGATTCGTCGCCTTCCTCTGCTGAATCGGAGGATACCTTAGCCATCGCTGATAGGGCCTCCCTTTCTTCCATGCCATCCTCGCATTACCGCCACCAGAGGAATACACTGATGAAGCCTGCCCAGGTGCCATAGACGGTGGCGGCGGGGTGCTTAGTTCCAAGGCGTTGCGGCACGGTGATTGTGGTTGTTTGGTGGCGTGGAGCAAAGCTCATTTGTGTGGGCCGACGCACGCGGAAGTGATGTCAATCTGGCTCAGCTGGTGTGCTGTCAGTCAGATGTGGTGCATGGCGGCGTTGTTGGTGGCACCCCTGCACAATGTCGGCCTTAGGTACTCGTGGTAGGGGTGTAGGGTTGGCTCGGTCGGGCACCAACAGTTTGGATCTAGTGGCGGTGCTCCGGCGGCGAGCATGGCACGTTTCGCGGCGGACACGAGGTTGGCGGTGAAGGTGAGACAACGTAATGTGAGACATGGTGAGGGCGGGTGCTCGGGGCTTTACGTGTTCTCCCTACCAATTCCGTTGTCTGGACGCACGTTGGTAACGAACATGAGGCGTGTGACAATGGTTGAACAACACAAGCATCGCACACGAGCATCGCACATGGTTGATCGGCTTCGTGTTTCAACAATCATCAATTGCCTTCGCTATAGACGGCAGTTGGCCCCATGTGGGCTCTTGGCGGCACCGATGGCTTAATGCCTGCAATTAGATGACATGTCATATTTGGCCAATACCCTAAGGCGAGCTGTTGGATGGTTCTTTGAGTGGGCTCATGTCACTATTGGTGACCTTGTTGATGTTGGCAGGTGTGCTTTGATCCGCTCCTCGCATACATGGGGATGTTCGATTTGCTTGGCAATGTCCATGTAAGGGTTGTACGAGTGTTAAGCCGCGACGATCTAGATTGCAACAGTGACTTTTTTTGCAGAAAATGGAGCCAATCTAGGTCTGACTTGCATGAGTTGTGCCTAGTAATGCTCATGTTCCACGTTATTTATTCACGGAAGGCATTATTTGGACTGGGGCTTAAAATCCTTGGATATGGGAACGGCAGCGCTCACCCATTATTTCCGTTTTGGATACACCGCTTTTGAAATACCTTTCTCGTGATTCGGGTGTCAATGGCGATGATTTCTATTTGATTGTTGCTGCTTATGTTGTTGTTCGTTTTGACATGTCTTTCGGCAGTCTTTTTTTTGTGTGTGTGTGTGTTGATGTTGGCTTTATACATCCTAGTCATGCAAAGTGTGAATGATACACATAGTGGTTGACATTATAAGGCAATAAATTATCGAAGAAAAAGAATATCTCTGCATTCTGCAAAGCAGTCACCTACACTACACATTTTATCACCTGCCGGCGCTCGCCGCCCTCTCCTCGAGCCACGAAATCACGTCTGTGAAGATCCGCTCCACATCGACCGGCGGCTCAGCCATGAGAACGTGCCACATCCCGGGGTACAGCTTCAAGGTCTTGTCCCTGCTCGATGCCCTCTCGTGTAGCAGCCTGCTCCCCTCAGGATCGGCCACCACGTCGTCCTCCCCTTGCAGCACCAAGAACGGCAAAGTGACCTACACAATTATATTAATAATTAAGTGGCGCACAGAATTGCACGGACACAATGCTGAGACTAAGATAATGATCTGTCAATGGTATTATCGGCTTCTACTCCCTCTATAACTTAATGTAAGATGTTAAGTCCAAAAAATGCCTTGCAAGAAGTTACAGAGGTTGCACTATATATACTGTATGTACCTCGTGCATGTTCTTCTCAATGTCTAGGCTGACCGCGAGGAGTTCGTGGCCTGTCTGCAGCGCCATGTTTCCCTTGTACATGTATGGGTTGGAACGAATCTGTGAAAGATTTCAGCGAGTGAGAACATATCTGATGCTTCCTCCTCTTAAGGTGCTTCTGTGCTACTTAAATAAAACTACTACAACAAATTGTTGAAAAACCAAATCCCACCGTTAGTATCAGATGCGTCTATCACACCACAAAATTTTAGTTTAAAATTCAATCCACGAGTTGAGAAACAAAAAGGGAAACCCAGACAGTGAGGATTCATTTGGTTTGAAGGATTCCTATGGGATTTGCGCGTATGCTAGCATTCGTTTCACAAGAATAGATGCACTAGATTCCTAAGGGTTGTGCCAACATTGACCTAATTCCTAAGGATTCTTAGCATTATGTAAGACCTGATAGAAAATGCCTACGGATTAAAGTGGACATGACATCTCAAATATTAACTTTTCCTATTCCGAAGATTTTAAAATCCTGCAAAGTGATTGAACCATGAATAATATTGTATCAATCATCTATGTTCAAATCACAACATTCTAGTATCAAGGTTGTTGGTTTTTTTTCCAATAACTTTGATACCATTTTTTAGCATTTTCATAGATTGCACCGAAGCACTGCAAGGAGAGGAAACCCCGGAGATCTCTATGGACTATATTTGTAACAAGTTTCTCACATTGTGAAAAAGGAAAATTATTATAAATATAACGAGCACAAAGCATTTATACATTCTATTAGAATGTTGGTATGTTTTCTTCGTTCTAACATGTAGCAGACCAGAGAGCTTACTATGAGAATATGTCATTATAAATCTACAAGATATGTTCACCGGGTTATAAAATTGTCTTTCTACATGTTAAAAAAATCCGGTTGATTTTACGAAAGAATATTTTTATACAGATCTACGGAAAAGTTCACCACATTGTAGTAGTTTGTTCATCGCAAAAATTGTAGTGTGTGTTCCCAGAGTTAAAAAAAACTATGAAATCTTACCGCAACGTTAGATTAGGTCAATGGTTTTCCGTGTTGATAGTTTTATATCGAGGAAAAATGTAGTGTTTCTTCCTAACGTCGAAAAAACTATGAAGTCTTGCACATATCTCAACGTAAGGTCAATGGTTGTCCGTGTCGATAGTTTTATATTACCTCTTTCTTGAACTGGGGATCTTTGCAGACTTTGTCGAGCTGATCTGGAGCCGGGATGACCCTCCAGCTTGGCACGACGGCGCAGATCATCTTCAGAGCGCTCACCACCACCGGATGAGGCCGCATGCCATCGCCAAGCTGATGCCACCGCAGAACAAAGAAAAAGTTCAGCGATCTTCAGAGGACATGACCGAGCCATCAGGCGATAGATCATAGATCAAGTTTCATTTTGAGAATTCCAGGACAATTTGACAGGTTACAGTACTAGCATGGCATGTCGATCACGTCAAGAAGCGGACCTTGACCATGGGAGCGAGCAAGACGGCGCCGTCCCAGTACATGGAGTCCTTCCTGTGGACCTGCAGCGCCACGGTGCCGCCCATGGAGAAGCCGTAGAGGAACCTCTTCTTCGTCTTGTTCTCCGGCTTCTCTGAGTTTATTGCCAAATCGAAACCCCTTCAGACTTTCAGTTTAAAAGATAGAAAAAAATAGAGCAATTTCGCTGCAATCTGCATAGATAATGGAGCTGTAAATGAAGCTATGTTCTTCTGTTCTGTTCTTACCGCAGACGCTCTTGAAGTAGTCGGAGCAGTCCTTGACGATGTCGCCGAAGCTCGATATGTAGCCCTTGGAGCCGGAGGACTTGCCGTGGCCCTCCTGGTCTATCCCGTGGACGGCGTAGCCGGCGTGCACCAGTCGCGCGGCGGTGTCTGAATTTGCGTGGAGTTTGTTAGCTGACAGTAACGGAAATTTCACCTCGTCCATCTTGGATGGTGAAGTCGTTCTGAATCGATGAATAGAATTGTAACACTGAAGAATAGAAGTGGTACCTGCCATCGATATGCTGCACTCTCCTCCATAGCCTACACGTTTGGACGAATGAATTTTCTCTACTTCTTTGTTACAAGCTTGACGAGCTGCAGAATGGAAATCATGGAGGATGGGATGGTACCATGGCAGATGAAGATCAAAGCCTTGCGCTGTTGTTTCTTGGGCGTCCATTTGCAGGTGAAGAGCCTGCTGCCTCGTGAATTCAGGGTGAAGCCCTGCCCAAAGTTGAAGTTTGCATCTAATGCTTTAGGAAAGAAAAATAAAAGATCACCGGTTTCGAAAAATTCTGATCAACGGTCACAGGACACAGGACACACCTCTTCATACTTGATATCATCTTTGTAGTGAGCCTGCAGAGATCACAAAACCGGAGCTTAAGATTCGTAGAGCACAAAAGTAACATGAAATAGGGAAGAGAAAATAACGGGCCGCTTCTGAATTTACCATGGGGATGGTTTTCGAAACGCCGTGTGGATGGATAGGTCAAACGATCCAAGCCCCCAGGCGATCTCTGAAGATAGCAGCAAGCGACCTGTGAAGATGGAACACGAGGGGTGGTGCTGGATATATATACGCCTATACGGACTTTTCTGCCTGGAGACAAGTTCATCGCCAACTGGTTGAGACGAGGAATTTTCTTCGGGTTTCAGAGAAGAAACGCATCATGCTTCAGCACTAAGAATGCACGTTTTCTGTTGTTTAATCTCGCTGCCTCAGCGGAAAACATCGTGCTGGGAAGATAGGGCGCCTGGTCAACGGATGAACCAAACTCGGACCATCGAAAGCGAGAGAGGGAGGTTCCCATGCATCAAGGAGAAGAGGTAAAATGGTACACGCAGCGGATATGGTTGAGCGGCACGGTATGATCTGCATCTGCCTGAAGGCTTAGTCAAAGGCTCTCATCGAAGACAACAGTATGTCATAGGAGTACTACTGTACAGTAAAGAGTAAACTCGTGAAAGCGATTCGTGATTACCAAGGCTGTATACCCAAACTGTCCTTCTCAACTCGAGCTCATAAACTCGGTATGAACAGTAAATCTAAAGAAAAAAACTGTATTTTTTTGACAAATATATTGGATGCTTACAAAGTTTCATCATGAAATGGCATTCATGAAAGTCATGGCAAAAAACAAAACATAATCAGCACTCGAAAGTGCTTTTGAAAATAACTTTTTTGAAGGATTGATTTTGTTTTTTGTTTGCCACATATTACACAAATGTCATTCATGATGAAAGTTTGCAAGCAACCAAAACATTTGTCAATGTTTGTTATAAAAAAATTCAGATTTTTTTAATTGCTTTTCTTTTTTTAATTTACTATTCAATCGAGCTCACATGAGCTCAGGTTCAGATAATCCGCACCAGTTGTATACCCTTTTTGCGGGAAACAAGGTAAGCCTCTTTTGTGGTGATACTCTAACGGCCTAACAACATCTCCAAGGGGCCTTCCCAAACCACTCACATTTGTTCCGACTACTCGGACCGTTCAAAATCCAGCTTAAATATCGGGTGGATATAAAGCTATTTAGGCATGTTCGCCACGTCGATCAGAACTGGCCTACTTGTCCTCACAAACCCTTCTATGCGCAATCCATCAAACTCCTCGCTCACTCTCCGCCTCTCCTCTTCTTCTCTTTCCTCTCTGTCTCCTAGCCACCACCAGGCCCGGCTCCAGATCGGAGGATGATGGGTCGACTAGAACCTCCGGACAACGGAGGACATGGCCCTTCGCGTTGCTCTCGGGCAATCTTGGGTGGAGACTCGTATGTCCCGCCATCCCCACCGCTCGGCGTCGTGGCTTGATCAGTCAGGTGTGGTCCCCTCT